ATGAGGACCCAAATTGTTGGGGGCAAGAGGCTGACTTTGTAAACTGCTTAGAGAGGGCTGTAAAGCACTGTGAAGCAGAATATAAGTCAAAGTGCTATTGCTAGTGTTATTTTGCTTACTTAGTCTCCTGCCTACTCTTACACGCCAAGCACTAGGACACAGCTCTGATCACTGCTTACTTACAGACCTGTATTGTGATATTCAAGAGGATTTCAGCAGAGTATTAGGGATACTGAACCTCAAACTGTTGGAGGACCCATCCTAAGTGAATTCATATAGATAATAAAAAAAGGGGGGAAAAGATTTCAATACCACATCAATCATTCTGACCTCTCATCCCCCACCACTTCATTCACTGAAGGAGGAGCAGATTCTCCAACTCCTGCTGGTAGTCCAATGATATCAAAAGCCACTAAGAGGCCTTGAAATAACAACCCACAATCCCACTACTTTGGAAGAGCTTCCCTTTGGAAGTGAGATTGATCCCCTTGCTTCCAGAAATTAGTCAAAATGAAATGGTTTCTGAGCACCTTGAAGGTGACTGATAAAAAAATATCTCCAATTTAGATGCAGTTGTAATTGAACCATGAATGACTTCATTGTCTAACATTGCTGCATTTTAATTTAGTAGGCTGCTAAAATTATTAAAACATGTCAACCTATCAGTTTAAAAAATAAGTAAAGACATTGGGATTGTTATGAAGAAAGCAAGCAGCTGCAAACTGGAAGCCTCAAGTCACAAAGACAGGCATGGATGGATGGATGGACGGACGGACTGAGGGACTGGCCAACCAGCCAACCAACCATTTTTAGATGCCTTTCCCACCTAATTAATGCTTACACCGTTTTTTATATTTAATCAATTTAAATGATGATTGGGGTTCCATGTCAGTTCAGACCTGAAGCAAAGATATATTTAGAGGGGAATTAGGTGATCTTTAGAAGTTTGAGTTTCCAGTTCCCATCAATGATCAGCTTGGCTAACATACAGGGATCAAAATCCAAAAAGCTAACCAGTCAGTCAGCAGCAGAGAGAAGATCTCAAATGGAGCCCTTGCTTGTTTCTGCCTTAACATATATTTCATTTAGAAATCATGTTCCAGCTGAACTCGCATTTCAACCAATGAAAAAACTGACAGACATCCAGCAAGCATCCCAGATCTAAGTTGGTAAAGTTACAGAAGAAAGATTAAGATTGAATTTAGAGTACCAACCCGGGAAACCATGGCTCAGGAAGACACCATGTTATGAAGCTGGACTAGTCTATAACTGATGATAATAAACTGCCTTTCTTAGTCATTTCATATGACAGAACTCAAAAACCCTTGTTCTACTTCCAGCAGCTTCTGATAAGTCCTGGAACAGGTTCCGTTTCTTGTTTCTCTGAAGTCATTAAAGACCTGCTAATTTTCAACCGGTGGCTGCTAAGGTGATGGAGAGCGTGTGACTTGCTTCAGCATAACTGCTGAAGCTTGCTCCTGCCCTGTTAATAGGACCAGTCGATCCTGCTATTCTGGAATGCTGGGTTTTTTTGAGGCCAAACCTGCCCCCATGTCCCCCCCCATTGAAACTCATGACAAACCGTATTTTTTGCTCACTCCAATTTATTGGATTTGTTGGATTACTGGATTTGTTCAACACAATGAACCACAAACTAAACGCACAGGCTGGACTTATGTGATTCCCGTGTTCTTTACTTGTAGTTCGTATGATAGGGTTGTAACAATTTCAAGGCAGTTGAGGTTGAGGGGCCAGTGCTTTCTGAAAACTTTTTATAAATTATTTCACTTTTTATGAGTTCTTTTTTTTTGTTTTGCAACTTCAGCACTACAGTATGCATGATAAATAAACCTTGCATCAATTATATGTAGCATTCTTTTTTTTTTTTTTAAAAAAAAGGCATTTTTAATCATAGTTTAAGAGCATTTTTACAGTCCAAGCTACACATAGTCCTTCACTTATGACCACAGTGAAGCCCAAAACTTCTGTTGTTAAGTGAATCTGGCTTGCCTGTTGACTTTGCTTGTCAGAAGGTCACAAATGACCCCAAGACACGGCAGCCGTCATAAATATGAGTCAGTTGCCAAGTGTCCGAATTTAAGCGGACTAGATGCACCATTTTCTTTCTGCCAGGATACAAAATGCGAACAGAGACCCAAAAGGTGTATCAGCATCGCCTGCATTTCATCTTCAGCCTCCATCTAGGATTGATTTTGGATGGTAGATCAAGTGATTGAAAAGTCTGAGCTAATTTGGAGTCTTTCTTATTTCTTCTCTATCTCCTGCTCTAGTTTTTGTTTTCTAAAAAGATTAACATCATGCCTGATAAGAGGGTTCTGAGATTCTGAGATTATTTTTGGTAACCAGGAAAAGATATTATCTTATTAATTCTGAGTTTTCTTTCCCACAAATCAACCCTACTGTAATTGCTTTTTATGATTATGGATGGGTTTTCATTCCTTTATTTTGCTTTTACTAACACTCTCCCACACAGCAATTGCGAAAGACAAGGCTAACACCTTTTTTATTTTAAAATCTCTCCTTAAATGACATCTCTTAAAGAGCTGCTTCTGATGTGGTGAATGGAAGCCTTTAAAAAACATCTTGGGAAAATTCTGTAAAATTTAATTTCATTGATCAGCAGTAAAATGTTGCTCTATGGCTGGGAAAGGTGGACCATAAGAAAGGCTAAGCGCCAAAGAATTGAGGCCTTTGAACTATGGTGCTGGAGAAGACTCCTGCGAGTCCCCTGGACTGCAAGGCGATCAAAACAATCAGTCCTAGAGGAGATCAACCCCGACTGCTCTTTAGAAGGCCAGATCCTGAAGTGGAAACTCAAGTACTTTGGCCACCTAATGAGAAGGAAGGACTCACTGGAGAAGAGCCTAATGCTGGGAAAGATGGAGGGCAAGAGAAGAAGAGGACGACAGAGAATGAAGTGGCTGGATGAAGTCACTGAAGCAGGAGGCGTGAGCTTAAATGGACTCCAGAAGATGGTAGAGGGCAGGAAGGCCTGCAAGAACATTGTCCATGGGGTCGCAATGGGTCAGACACAACTTCACAACTAACAACAACAAAATGTTGCTCTAAGTTACAATTTGAAGATGCAAGGTTACAATTGTCAGGATTGTGGGGGGGTTTTTTTGAAAAAAGAACAAACTGATTGGCCCACTTCATTCACTCTTATAAAAGGTTATCTGGTATATTTTTAATACAAACTTCTTAGAACTTTTAATGGTGTAATTTCTGACCTTGAAATAGAGGCCAGAATCAATTTTCTTCTCTCTGGATCTAGTCAGCCAACCGCTGTTTATTTCGGGTAGCGGTTTTGTACATTTTTCGTGGGCTTACATGTTAGCTATAGAAATGCTGTAAAAAGAACAGACTTTAGCTTGGTGCGTGGATATACACATTCCACTTTCCTTTTAATAGTCAGCACTTAAGTGTTGCAGTAGGAGTCAATAAATACTCCCACATGTGTCTCACAAAGAAAAATAAGCACTTTGTCAGCGGCTTCCTAATCTTCCCAAAAGGGGTTTGACAAGTTGTTCTCCATAAATAGTTGAACAATCAACTAAAGCTACACTGCACATTGAAAGAGTCAACCGGGAAAAGGGATATTGTCTTAGCCTGATTTTTTTTTTTCTTAAAAAGGGAAATCTCTTGTGATTTTTCTATTTGCTTGCCAATGGAGAGAGAATTTAAATAAATTAAATTTCGGAGTTATGCCCAGCGGGGTTTCAAATGGCAGCAGCCGAGAACTTGGGCATGAGTGATGGCATGGTGATTGTCTACCAGAAATTGTTTACAGCTTTCAGGGTCCGAACTCTGCAGGTCACCCAACGGGATACCCTGTTTATTAAGATGGGCTCTAGGGACTAGTTGGCATTCTTGCTGTTTCCCCAGCAATCTTCCTGCTTGAGTTCCTTGACTTTACCTCCAAGTTGGCAGATGAGTTCCCAGGACTCAACATCTACAGGAGATTGCTGGGCGAACTCAACTGTCACCTTGGGGTGATGATATACATCTCAGCTTCTGGTGAAGTAAGCAATGCTGTAGTAGATCTCCTATTCTGGTGTCTGGAGGCTTTGAGCATCTGGATGGAGGACATCAGGCTTCAGCTGAACCCTGGCAAGGCTTTGTGCTTTAAGGCCCTTGGTTCTAGAGCTATACCATCTCTGGTGCTGGATAGGGTTGCATTGCCTCAAAAAGACCCTGTGCCAGTGGTGGAATTCAAATCTCTGAACAACTGTTTCTCTACGTGGATGTAGGCCTGGGTCTCTGAGGCCTAGAACAGACTTCCGGAAGTGGCATCCCCGCACTTCCGGTGGACCGTTCTAGCCCTAGGAGGCCTCCTCCAGGCCTAGAACAGAATTCTGGAAGTGGTGTGCATTCAGCCAGTTCTCCGAATTCAACAAAATTTAGCTACTGGTTCTGCCGAACTGGTGCAAACCAGCTGAATCCCATCATTGCCCTATGCACAATCTGGACTCATGACTTCTGGGGTAGGAAAGTCATGGCCAGGAGAGCTTTTACACACTGCAGAGCTGACTTCCACAAATTATAAATCAAACTTTGGGAAGCCAACTTCTATGACGTCAAAGTATAAGTTCATTCAGCCAAGAATTGCTTGACTATTTTGTAGCCCTGTTTGAAAAACTGAGTTAAACCTAAGAACTTGTGAAACAGAAAGATATGTTCTACCGCTGTATCATGAATAATTCATTTCGGTTGATTGGCAGCGTGCATCTTGTCTTTATCTGTAAACATATTGGAGTGAGTAGGATCACTGGACTGATTTAAAAGACCGTTGACATTAATTCCCATTTCATGGAAGCTTCAGGCCCTTCAAATAATAGCACTTGACTGACAGATAGTTTCTCTCACTGATTTCAATGGGATGCAAATTCAGCTAAGTTTGTTTGGATCCATATAAAGAGTATGAGTTTTTAACCTGTAAATGGAATTGATTTGCTTCATTTTTTTTCATTTCTTTACAGCCCGCTTACAATGCATCACATAATACAAACTGTATACAGCTGGTTTTGGTGGGAGAACATCTGGATGCCTGCTAACTGCACCTGGGCAGATTTAGAAGATCATAATGGATACGTCTTTCCCAAACCACGAATGCTATTTGCCACAATTCCATATGCCTTTGTGATGTTGGTTATCAGGTTCTTTGTTGAAAGGTAAACATTTTCTTTTTTTTTTTTAAAAGAAATCTTATTTTCTACTTCAAAAAATTCAAAATAACAATTTCCCACTGTTCATTGCACCTGCGGTATAACTTCCTTAACTACTAGAGAGAAATTGGTTGGATCTGCCATCCGAAAGGTGTGTTAGCTGGAAATTCTGACAGTTGAGGGTGAAGGTTCATTCTCTGAGCTTGTGGGTTGGTTTCCGAATGTTTCGTTACCAGGCTAGGTAACATCTCCAGTGGAGCTTAGGGGATTGTCTGTGTTCTTCTGCTTATAAAGGCTTCAGGTGTGAGTGTGTCAACAGATACAGATATTCGCCACTATTGCAATTCTAATCGTTGTTTTAAACCCTTCAGAGGATGCCCAATTTAAAGAAGACTCATCTGTTCTGGAACATGGACTAAGCCAGGGGTAGGCAACCTTGGCTCTTTTATGACTTGTGGACTTCAACTCCCAGAATTCCTGAGCCAGCATGGGGAACTATGGCTCTTTTATGATGTGTGGACTTCAACTCCCAGAATTCCTAAGCCAGCCATGCTGAGGGGAAAGGGAGAGGTTTCAAGCTGAGCCATGCTGGCTCAGGGATTCTGGGAATTGAAGTCCACGAGTCATAAAAGAGCCAAGGTTGCCTACCCCTGGTCTAGGAGGCTCACCGCTTAGAACAGGAGTAGGCAACCTTGGCTCTTTTATGACTGGTGGACCAACTCCCAGAATTCCTGAATCAGCCATGCTGAGGGGAAAGGGAGAGGTTTCCAAGCTGAGCCATGCTGGCTCAAGAATTCTGGGAGTTGAAGTCCACGAGTCATGAGGGGGCCATAGTTCCCCCATGCTGGCTCAGGGATTCTGGGAGTTAGTCCACCAGTCATAAAAGAGCCAAGGTTGCCTACCCCTGGACTAAGCTATGTTAATGAAGTGATGACACAATCCAACACTGAGTGATTCTTCCACAACTCCCCACGAGAGAAAGCAAATGGGTTGCCGCCATGAATACAGAAAACCTGTCCTTCAGCCCAAGCAGGGAGCACTTCATTTTCCTGTGCAATAATATAGCTTAGCCTAATATTGAAATCATTACGTCTACAAACTTCCTTTTTTTTAATTGTCTTTCAGATATATTGCTCTTCCTCTGGCTGACTACTTGGGCATAAAGAATGTGAGGCGGATCAAACCACAGGATAATCCCACCCTGGAAGATTTTTTCCGAAAGTGCACAAAAAAGCCCTCCCAGGTGAGGATTTTTGTGTGTGTGTGTGTAAATTGTCCCATGGGAGATTTTCCATGCCCCAAATCACTGCCTGGTTCTACCATCTATGCAGCCCAGGGATGGTGAGCCTGACAACTTTCAGAGCATGAAGAACTCCAGACAACTATAGCTCACAGAAAGGGGTGCCAGAATTGTAGTTTCTGGAGTTTCCCAATCTTGTTAACCCCCTGCATGCTTCTTACAAGTCCTCCACTCAGTGTTTCTCAACCTTGAGAAACTTTAAGTGTGTGGACTTCAGCTTCAGAATTCCCTAGCCAGCCATGCTGTTGAAGACCAAACCTGCTGTCCATCCCATTGGAATGGAATGGAATGGAATGGAATGGAGTGGAGTAGAGTGGAATAGAATAGAATAAAATAGAATAGAATGGAATAGAATAGAATAGAATAGGAATAAGAATAAGGAATAGAACAGAATAATTAGAATAGAATAGAATAAGGAATAGAACAGAATAATTAGAATAGAATAGAATAAGGAATAGAATAGAATAGAATAGAATAGAATAGAATAGAATAGAATAGAATAGAATAGAATAGAATAGAATAGGAATAAGAAATAGAATAGAATAAATAGAATAGAATAGAATAGAATAGAATAGAATAGAATAGGAATAAGAAATAGAATAGAATAAATAGAATAGAATAGAATAGAATAGAATAGAATAGAATAGAATAGAATAGAATAGAATAGAATAGAATAGAATGAGGAATAGAATAGAATTCCTTTTGTATTTATCATTGCTAAGACTAAAGGGAACTGGGGTGAAAATTTCACACATGTTTACACTGTTGGGAAATATTCATCCAGTGTATGCATATTTTGCCACAATTTCCCTAGCTTGATAAAAATCAGATCTTAGCTTTCCTTCCCAATGAGTTTGAAGCCCAAATGAAACCAGTGTTAGCAAATCTTAGATTTGCATAATTCATTTGCAGGTGCAAGAGGTTGTCCCGGCTTCTGTGAGCTTCCAAGCTCTACTCTGTACGAAGCTGCACAGAGTTTGACCTGCCTGGCATGATTGTGACACAATTTGAATGAGAATAAAGATATGAAGTGATTTTGATTAACGCTCCCTTGCTTTATAAACAGATAATCCTTGGCCTACAACCGTTCATTTAGGGATTGTTCAAAGTTACAACATCCCTGAAAAAAATTACTGTTTTTCACATTTACATGACCATTTACAGCATCCCCGCGGTCATGCAATTAAAATTCAGGCACTCGGCAACTGGCATGGACTTAGGTCAGGTGCATTGTCCTGGGGTCATGTGATCTCCATTTGCAACCTTCCCAGCTGTTTTCTGACAAGCAAACTCAGTGGAGCAAGCCAGAATCATTTAATAACTGCAGGAGTCACTTAACAACTGTAGCAAAATGGTCGTAGAATGGGGCACAGCTCACTTAACAAGTGAGCTGTGGAACAGCCCTTAACTTTCTCGCCTAGCAATGAAACTTTTGGGCTCCATTAGAGTCGTAACTCAGGAGGACCTGTGTTGTTTCCACTAAATTTAGCATGGAAGTGGCACGAAGGAGAGGAGCTATGGAAAGAGATTGTGTTTGGCATGGATATCTCATTTCGGTGATCCTGACCATTTTGTTTTCTGAAGCACAAGCCAACTAAACTGCTTCTCTTCACAGCTAGGCAGCTGCTGTCTGAAGATTCTTATATTCTGAACTTTTTAACTGTGGTGGAGTTACAACACACACGTGGCATGGGAAAGCTGTTGGTAAATCTGGTTTGTTTCGTGGGCCACTGAATTCCCAACCCTTTGCAGCACAATAAGATACATCCCAATGCATTTTTTCATCGATTGGGAATTATGTTACAAGTGCTGCAGATAATGAGGGGAGGCATCGCAAGGAGGTGCAGCAGCTCTGAAGAGCAGAAGACCCAGAAAAGTTGGAAGAGGACCTCTGAGGTCTTCTACTCAACCCTCTACTTTTAAGCAGGAGTCCCGATATTATTTTAAACAAACGACTGTCCAGGCTTTTCTTAAAAGCCTCCCGTTATGGAGCATACATAACTTCTGGAGGCAAGTTGTTCCACTGATTAATTGTCCACACTGTCAGGAAGTTCTAGGTTGCTTCTCTCCTTGATTAGCTTCCATCCATCATTTCTTGTCCTGCCATCAGGTGCTTTGGAAAATAGGTTGACCCTCTCTTCTTTGTGGCAGCCCCTCAAATGCTGGAACGCTGCTGTCATGTCACCCGTAGTCTTTTTTCTGCCCTTCCCTATATATAGTCTCCAGTGGATTAGGCAGTCTCCAATCTAAGAAAGCTTAAACCATTAGCATTTCTTCGTTTGTATATTCATATAGTGCTTTTTAAAACAATGATGGGTAGTTTTTAAAACTTTTAGTGTCATGAGACTTTTTTTTAAAATCTAACAAACACATTTGCTCTCTGAGAAGGATGGACAGTGATCACCTCCTCCTCCTCCTCCTCAAAGCTGCAGTGCTTGTTTTGATAACTTGACTTCCAGCATGTGTATCACTGATTTCTGCCTCCTTCTTTCTCCAACCTTGCAGTCAGAAACACGCAGACTAGCTAAAAAGTGTAACTGGACTATGCACCAGGTGGAAAAATGGTTCAGGCGAAGACGCAACCTAGAAATCCCAACTCTGCATAAAAAATTCAAGGAAGCTTGGTAAGAAGAGAGTCCACTGTCCTCCATTCTCTGCTTGTAAATATATATAGATATATATCTTCTCAAGTAGAAAAATAGCCAGAAATTTAACATTTAGTTGTTGTGGTTCCGGCTAATGAAACATTCCAAAGAACTTCCAGGCATTTATTTTCCTAAAAGTCTTTTATTGTTACAAAATGTCGGCACAGGCACAATGGAGGGATGCTAGGATCTAAGTTCTCTTCCTCTGAGCAGTTAAATTATCAGCATGTTCCCTCCCTAAATTAGCCGTCATATCTCACATTGTCCAATTAGTGTGAAGGTCAAAGGTTTCCTTCCTCTTTCTTTCCGGGCTTTACCCCCAACCCCCCTTCTGCTCTGTATTAACCCCCAAATTACCAGACAATTCTACATATTGTCAAAAGCAAGAATATACAATATTTGCAGCGTTGACATTAGTGGCATTATGGATATTGCATAACCAGATATTTCCTTTCTTGCCAGTCAACATAAATAACATAAATAAATAATAATAATATCAAACCACAACAACGACCTAATACAGGTCGTATTGATCGGTGGATAAAAATGTCAAATCTAGTCTGAACATCTGGCTGATTGTGCAACCAGCTATAATAACAATAATAAACTATTGTTTTATTATCAATGAGCTTTGTCTTGCATATTCTCCAGAAACACAGATTACATTACATTACAGCTTCGATTGCAAAATTGCAGTCACTGTCTTATCTTTTTAACCCCCTCCAGCCAATCTTGAATACATTGAAGCTGTAGCTTGAGTTTCCAAATGGATATAGGCTTTTTTTTTTTTTACTAAATTTGAATATGAGGATTAGAAATTAATTTATTCTTCTGTTCTAATGACTTCCATATCCTCTGCTTCCTCTTGAGCGTGTGTGTGTGTGTGTGTGTGTGTGTGTGTGTGTGTGTGTGTACGTGTGTACATAATGCCAATTTATTCCTGTAATGAAGTGACATAACAATTTAAAGCTTGAGGGATCTTTGGTGCTCTCTGAGCTTGGTTGTTTTCTTGCAGACATTTCATTCCCCAAATTAGGTAGCATCATCAGGGCTAGTTAGTTAGCTGACTAGCTAGCCCTGATGATGCTAGTTAGTTTGAGTAATGAAACCTCTGCAAGAAAACAACCAAGTTCAGAGAACACCCACTGATCCTACATTTCAATCCTGAGCTACCAATACTCTCTGTCAGTACTCTGGCTTATTTTGCAGTTACACTTACAAGTGGCTCAAATCACTGTAAATGTAAATAATAAAAATGAGGCAAATTAATTCAGGAAGAGAGAGATGGGTAAACAGGCAGTACTGCTCTCCTAGCTATGGCGAGAAGTCTAGGCAAGTCTGTTCTATCTTACCACCTTCCTCCATGTCCCTGTGAACTCCTTGGTCTTAACATTCATTTTATTTTTGCAGTTGGCGATGTTTATTCTACAGTACCTCATTTATTGCCGGAACTATATTTCTCTGTGATGTAAGTTAAATATGGGACAGGGAAGGAGGACTCAAGTGGTAACCTAATCTGAGGTTGTTTTTACAGCAGCTTCCCGTGAGTTGTTAAACTTGGGTTAGTATAAAGACAGATGTAATCTGCCCCCAAATAGGATAAGCTAAACTTCTACTGTTATTGTCCAGAGAGAGTCGTTGTGATAATCAAGAATTTATAATTTTATGGGGAGGGTTGTTTCACTTTTGTCTGAAGAATTAAAGTTAAGGGAATTAAGCCAGATGAGGCATTAAGCAGGAATAGTACACACACATTTGCACTATAAGAAAATGACCTGGGAAAGAAGAATGTGTTGACCTCCATGCTCTTATAATTTCATAATTCTTAAAGATACAGATGCCTCCCAGCCCAGCTTGGCTGTCTTTGTGCAATTTTCTTGGCAGTTTTATCAAAACAGTTTGCCAACTGTTGAATAATGAATTTGAGGTTACATAAAGTTCCGCACCCTCCCATTACAGACCCCTTGTCTAAAAGACCACCCTCAAATATGGAAACCCATGGTGTGATCTTGGGCCAGCCATTCTTAGCTCTGTCTGACCAATCTACCTCACAGCCCTGTTGTGGGGATTAAAAATTAAAGGAGAGGCCCATGGAAGCTACTTGTGCTTCTGGCTGACAGTTGGGACAGCAAACTAATAAGTAAATATCAAATAAACGACTCTATTAAAGCAAGGCAATTAGTGACCATGAGCTAATGGAAAGATTCCATGATGGAACACCATTTAAAGAGAGCCTTGGCTTTGCCCATATTGTGGTGCCTTCAATACCAACAAAAGATTTTTTTTTTAAAAATTTAAACTTATTTTTCAATTTCTCAGGATCTTTAGTAACAAAACCCTTGTTCAGCTCTTTGGGGCATTCTTGGGATATTAATCTATCAATTCCATCCTGCTACGGCTCTTTTATTCTCAATTCCCATCCCGCTGCTAATTCTCCACCCCTTTAGTTTTTGCAGTTTAATGATCTTGTTTTATGTTAACCTCTTATTTTTAAACCTTGCAAAGAACACCTGTCAGGAAGAAAACCTGGCGTGCTTGCTGTTAACGCGCTTTTTCTTTTTGAGAATGACTCATTTCATATCTAGTTTTACACTTTCTAGATATGTTACAGTGCATTGCTACTTTAAAAAAAAAACAACCATGCCCGATTGTCTGGATAAGTTCTACAAGCTTTTTGTGGCAAGTTTTTTTCAGAAGTGGTTTACCATTGCCTCCTTCTTAGGGCTGAGAGAAAATGACAGGCTCAATATCATCCAGTTGGTTTTGTGTCTACGGCCAGATTGTAATCTCCAGGTTTCTAGCCTTCACCAGTACATCAAACTGGCTCTTTTGTTTTGTAAAACAGACAAAGTTTGCTTTAAGTGCAAGGTTATGGATGACTATTCTGAAGTTCACCTGACTGCATTCAGTTAGGCTTTATTGCAGGCAAGTGGGCACAGGGCCGGCAGTTTGATTTAAGACTGAGAGTTGCATACCATTTGATCCCTCTTGGTATCTATGCGTTTGATTCACAAAGTACAGTACTTTGCAGGATCCAATCTGGGTGAGCTTTCAGACTCATGCTAGAGCCCAGACTCATGCTAGAGCTTCTCTCTACTGGAACATGTGAGAAGTTCCATGAGGATGGGCTTCCGCATGAGTCCAAAAGCTTGGAAGATTAAACCTCTGGTCCAGGTGACCGTCCCAGATTGGATCCTGCAACATTATCCTGGGACATGTATATTTGCCTTCATTCAACCAAGTATTTTGTGTATGGTTTTCACAGTTACCCATAAGACTCTTGTCTTAGCCATGTCCAATTTGGACCTTCCAAAAATGGAGAAGGGTGAAGATCCTTAGCGTGGGCCAGGAACATGCAAGTCCTAATGCTAGAATCATAGAGTTGGGGAAGGGCATTAATCCACTTTCAGCCAAGGTAGTTTACTAGATGACTTTCAAGCAGTCACCATCTCTCTGCCCAATCTACTTCACAGGGGTAGTTGTGAGGAAGAAAGGTGCACTACAATGAGAAGGTCTTTGACTTTCAGTTTCACTCTGGGGTGGCCACCACCTTGGGCAAGGCCAATAGGGTTATTCTTATGAGCAGCAAAAGCAAATAATGCCTGGCCCCCAAATTACGTAGTGAGTTGGTGGCAGAGATGAGATTGGCACTGTTGTCATGTGGGTCAATTAATGATTGTTTTCTGTCTCATTCTACATTCCTTTCCAGAAATCCTGGTTTTATGACCTTTGGGAAGTGTGGCTCAACTATCCAAACCATGTGAGTGTCTTACGGGTGCTGGTGCTTCTTGTTCTTTGGAAGTACCACTGTTGGCTTTGTGTGAAGAAATAGTCCTACCTTCATATTTGATGGCACATGAATAGCTGTTTCACCATTCTGGTTCCAGTAACACAGGATTCCCTTAGGGGAAGATGGTAAATGAAGCATTCTCATGTGGTCATGAGAAGCTATCATGATGAAACAAATAACAATCAGCAGACCACAAACAGTGTCCTGGCTTCAATATGCATCATTGGGAATGTTATTATTGCTACTATTATTAGTATACACTGTATTAGACATATTAAGTTATGTTTGCTTTCTTGAGTGGTAGATATATAAAAAGGGAGGATGAAAAGCTAATATAGGTAGTACTCAGTTTACAATGACAGACCTACCAGGTCCATCTTGGCTACAGGTAGAACTCAAAGGATAAATCTTCTTAGAGACATGGTAGTGCAGTGGTTAGAATGCAGTACTGCAGGCTAACTCACTCCTCACTCCAGGAGTTTGATTCTGAGCGGCTCAAGATTGACTCAGCCTTCCATCCTTCTGAGGTTGGTAAAATGAGGACCCGGACCGTTGGGGGCAAGATGCTGGCTCTGAAAATCAATTAGAGAGGGCTGTAAAGCACTGTGAAGCAGTATATAAGTCTAAGTGCTACTGCTGTTGCTAACTGGAACTTGTATAGTCCTAGTCAACTAAAAGTCAGAATTAAATTGGTGTTAGTTAAGAGTTAATGGAATTTGAGAAGGGCTGGATTTGAACCGCTTGTGGGAACGTAGTGACTCCAGACTAATTCCTCTCTTGACTCCCCAGGCTCTGGTCTTCTTCTATTATTTATTGCTCCAATACTGGTTCCATTAGAAAGAATAGAATAGAATAGAATAGAATAGAATAGAATTTCTTTATTAGCCAAGTATGATTGGACACAAGGAATTTGTCTCCAGTGCATAAACTCTCAGTGTACATAAAAACAACAAGTGATAAATCATGATCATAATCATAACAAGTAATTGCCTTTTTCTCTTTTCACCTCTTTGCAGCCTATGCTCCCCTCCCAGTATTGGTACTACATGCTCCAGATGAGCTTTTATTGGTCATTGCTCTTTACTCTGGGAACTGACACTAAAAGGAAGGTAAGGAGGATCGACAACTTCATCTGCTTAGGAATGGGATGAAAGCCATTCTCAGATCCTGGTTTCCAGCATGCTAGATAACTGTCAGGAGGACAAATATATAGCATATTGAATCTTTTGTAAGATTCAATATGCTATCTAAATTTGATAGCCATTCTTGCTCTGACATTCAGGGTGGCCCAGATTATTTGTAGCACTGAAGTTGGGTGGCACTAAAAAAAAAAAAGCCACAATGAGCTAAGTCTTATTCAGACTTACTCAATTATCTTCAAAACCACCTTAGGTCTTTTTTCTTGTTATTCTCTCACGCCTGTAAAGTTGGCTTGCCTCCAAATTAAACTATGCCCCATTGCCCATTACAGCTGTTTCCTTGCAGAATATCTTTAGTACTTCTACTCATGTCTTACTCATCCAAGTGAGGTGCACTGTTGCCCACCGTTATTTTTCAACCAGATTCAGAAAGAACAGGCCATCAGTCTCCACCTTCCAAAATCTTCTTGGCTTTAAGAAGTTAATTTATCTATTTCTTTTCCTCAGGATTTCATGGCCCATGTGGTGCATCATTTTGCCACCCTTGGCTTGATGTTCTGTTCCTTTAGTGCCAATTACCTTCGTCTTGGAACATTGGCGATGATTGTCCATGATTCTGCAGATATCTGGCTGGAGGTAAATCCCCGCACCGGTCTGTGCTTGTGCTCAGTTACACAAGTCACGGAATTTCGTTAATATTGTTTTTAATTCATTGTGATATCTGAAGAAGCTCTACAGAACCCTCAGCCTGAATGATGAGCTGCCCCATCAAGGCCTAACATTAAATATTGGTTCATTTGGTCCAGAAAAAACATACCTGGTGGTCTTCCATCCTAGAAGAAACTAAGCCTTAACCCAGCTCGATCCCCCACCATCCCCCAAGAACAGGCAAGGCTGTCTCTCAATGTTGTTACCAACCTTGGAACCAGTTCTACAAATCTTCAAGACTCTATCCCAGGGGTGGGCAACCTTGGCTCTTTTATGACTCGTGGACTTCAGCTGGCTCAGGAATTCCGGGAGTTGAAGTCCACGAGTCATAAAAGAGCCCAGGTTGCCTACCCCTGCTCTATCCTAAACTATTTTTGTCAGAGGGAAGCAGTGTTACATCTTGCAGGCCTTATAACTTATAACTGAGATATAAATATTGTACCTTTTGTCTGGGACAGCTACCAACTAGTAATGTTTTTGGACCAAATGTCCAACATAACATTGGGTAGACTTTCCCCTCCCCCCTAAAGGTCTCTCTTCCTAAAGTTATGAAGATGTAAAAACAATGGATTCCTCTTTGATTAGGGTTGAAGGGGAGTGTATACAGCTAGTCCTTGAATCCACGACCACAGCTGAACCCAACATTCCTGTTGCTAAGTGAGACATCTGTTAAGTGAGCTTTGCTCCTTTTATGACTTTTCTAGCCACAGTTATTAAGTGAATCACTGCAGCTGGTAAGTGACTAACCCAGTTGTGAAGTGAATCTGGCTTCCCCATTGACTTTGCTTGTCAGACGATCGCAAAAGGGGATCATGTGACCCCGGGACCATCGTAAATACAAGTCAGTTGCCAAGCATCTGAATTTTGATCACGTGACCCTGAGGAATGCTGCAAAGGTCGTAACTGGGAAAAATGGTCATAACTCCCATTTTTCAGTGCTGGTGTAATTCTGAACGGTCACTAATTGAAAGTCGAGGAGGACTACCTGTATATACCTTGGTGTGTGTGTGTGTGTGTGTGTGTGTGTGTAGTGCATAATATATTTATTTCCATATATTTTAAGTCCATATATTTATTTCAATATTTTACATTTATTGAAGCCATTGTTGCAGAGTAAAAATAATTAAAAAAAAATTAAACAAAAGAAACAGAAAAGAAAACCCGTAAGTATCGAAATAAGAAATGAAGCGGAAAACGGAGAAAAAGAAACAGCTACAGCTGTTACAAAGGCATTTATATTTTACCCTGAGAAGGAAATTTCACTTCCAGAAGTCACTAAGTATTTTTTTTTCTCCAACCGGTTACAGCTGATCGTTTTTCAGGTGATCCCAAGGTGGTAACTTCTCCAAATTGTTCAATTTCAGGCCGCCAAGTTGTTCAACTACGCTCGCTGGGATAATACCTGCAGTGCTCTGTTTGTCATTTTCGCCATTGTGTTCTTTATCACACGGCTCATTCTCTTTCCATGTTGGTAAGTTGTGTTCTGGACCGTTTGGCTTGGAGAAATCTGATCTCTGGATGCTACACCTGTTCTTAGCAAGCAGCCAAGAAACAAATGACCTCTGGATATTTTTTTAGGCTGGATGCCAGACATGATTCATGTTTGCCAAACATATTCATAACCTACATGAATATGTATGCTTAAATTTAGGGTAGGAGAAATAACAGCTAAAAATCCAAATGGTTTTTTTTTCCCCTCTTGTTTCCCTAACAGGATTTTACGGGCCTCGATATATTATCCTGTGTTTTATACCCAGACGCTTGTCCTAGCATATTTTGTATACAATGGGCAGCTATTGATCCTGCAAGGTCTTCACCTCTATTGGGCCTACTTAGTTTTCAAGATTCTGAAGAAATTCATTTTTGTGAAGGTAAGGATGGGCCGTACACTATATATTTGAATGCATCGCTTTCTTACTAGCCTTCCTGCAAGTAGCTGTTTCAGCAGAAGTAAAAGTAAAGGTCCTTCGATTAGCCAAATGTTATACGCACAGAAGTGAAAAAAGTAAGTTACTGCTCTTTCAAAACTGGAAATCACAAATGCAAACAAAAACTGGGCAATCAAGCTGAGCTGGTGAACTCAGAATATATTGGATTTCAAAAATCCCTGCATTCCCAGGCTACAGAAGGAGACAATAGAGATCCCAAAGGTGCTTTTTCAAAAGGCAACTGGTCTTTGTTTTTCCTCGGAGACGTTCCGTTCCTCATCCAGCTTCTTGGATGAGAAGCGAAATGCCTTCAAAGAAAAACAAAGTCCTTTTGAAAAAGCACCTTTGGGACAACCATGATCTGGATGACAGAGAATCTCCACAGAGAAGTCAGAGACGGACACCATGTTGGGAAGCATGATGCAGCCTATATTAAGCCACATAGATTCAGAATTGGGCTGCTACCTCTATGCTAGGATTGAGAAAAGTATGTTAAAGAATTGACTTTTCTTTTATAAGTGCATAACTCCTTATATTTAGTTTAAATAACAGTTTTACAAGCAATGGTTTTATGACTTCGAATGAAGAACATAGCTACAAACCACAACTATGGTGTCAAATCCTCAAGGCCAAACATTTTAAGTTTGAATTCAAGAAGTGAGCAATTCAAGAAGATCACCTTTCCCTGGGCCAACCCAGCATTTTGCATCTTGGGTGTTGTTTATTCTACAACCAGTTACCCTTTCCAGGTGCTCAGGATTCCTATACCAGCTTGGGCTAAAATAGGCAATGATAAGGTAAGCAGTGTGTGGTCTATGCATGCTCTATCAGAGGTGTTCAATCTTGGATGTTCGAGGTGAGGACAGCTGTGTCCTTGGGGAAAATCAACTGGAATCTCTGGATCAACCGAAATCACCTGCTAATGAATAGTTTCTAAATGTACTGTCCAGTCATCTCCTCTGGAAATACAATGCATTCTCTAAACGGGTTATTGATTGATTGTCTTGATTCTGAAAATCACTTTTCTTCACAATCAAGTTTTCTCTCTATTGCTTCCAGTAGATGGAAGACCAACCTTTTAATCATCCTAAAAAAACACATTAGCCTAATATAACTGGTAGACTTTCAACATCAATCTTGACTTGATTTGATGGGAGAATGGGTTTTCCACACTGGGCTGGCTTTTTCTCCCTCTTCTGATTTGGCTGTCATTGATATTCAGAGATCCATTCCCTTTACAACACTGATCACTTTCTTTGGATTGCATTCTCATTAAATTCAAGGTGGAGTGGGCAATGTTGACAGACCATATCTCAGGTGCTTCAACAGGAGCATGTTTAGTAGATGGTAAAGCAAAAGGCTACTTTTTAAAATAGATTCTATCGCTTAAATTTCTGTGAAGCACACAGGTAAAGAAAACAAGTGGTCACCATGGCAAGGCATGTGCCAAGGGTTGATGAATTGATGACATTGTCAGGTGTCAATGCCATTTTGTTTACATGGACCATTCACAACGTTACCTCTTATTTTAACTTTCCTGTATTTCAACTTTGCTAATTATGGATGTACTTTGCTACTCACTTTTTCCAAACAAAACATCTGTTAATGTACTAGATCTCCTGAGGCGTTCCAGTTTCAGACTCAAGAATGGGTCTTTCCAATCTACTTCCACCTAGCCAGAATAATGTTTCCACCAACTGCAAGCCAATTGCTTCCAGCAGACACATGAGTAATGTCCCCTCAAAAACCACAGTTCTTTCTCTGCTGTTTGCTCCCAACCTCAGAACATACAAATTAATAGAGGTGATGGGTCTCTGTGAAATTTTCTGATTTTTTTTTCTTAGACACCATGTATATTCTTGTTATCTCCATATCGCGTGACAGTTACATTTTATAAGGGAATTGAAGATATGAAGTCAAACTATTTGAAACCCTCTTTGGAGAGCCTTGTTCTATTACACACACAGCGAAAAAGCTTTGTAACCTCTAATTTGAATCTGCAAAATCAAATGGAGAAAACGTTCTTGAATATAAGGAAAAGACATGTCAGGATCCAGTATTTTTTTCTCTATGGTGGGGGAATCTTGAGTGCCTCTAAATAGCAATAGCACTTTGACTTATATGCCAGTTCATAGTTCTTTACGGCACTTTCTGAGAGGTTTACAGGGTCAGTCTCTTGCCCCCAACAATCTGGGTCCACATTTTACCAATCTTAGAAGGATGAAAGGCTGAGTCAACCTGGAGCTGGTCAGGATCGAACTCTGGGTTGTAGGCAGAATTTGCCTGCAATACTGCATTCTAACCACTGCGCCACCAGAACTCCTAAAGAAATAGCATATAAGAGAGAGATGGGCTGATGTGTCTCCACCTTGGCTATTTTTCTTCATGAACAAATGATCTTTGTTTGAAGGGTGCATAATCACTCACCAATAACTGGGGAAAGTATAGATCTTACTTTTTATGTTACAATTTGATCCGCATTTTGGGGAGACTAGAACAGTTCATAACATGCTTGCTGTCACTATCTCAACACCATTTTGTATATTATTTAATATCTAGCGTCCTCTTTCCTCCCCAGTATTTTGGCTCAAACCCCATCGATTCAGTTTCCAAACCAGGTCTCGAAACAGTGTCGACCTGAGTACAGATGCTCTGGGAACATGTTTTTGAGAATCTCCGTGACATTCTTAATTTCCTCCTACATCTGGGTGGCTTTTTAAAAAAAAAAATTGGGGAAGATGGTGTCACTTCCTCTTAGCCAGCCAAGGATTTAAACAAGTGGAATGTTTCTATAAGTGTCTAGAATTCCATTCCCCGCCCCCAACACACCTTTTTTTCCTTAGGCAAAAAAGGTTTTGGGCAACTTCTGTCTTTAGAGTGAGTCTCCTGCATAGCTAGTTGGCGAAGGCTGGAATTAGCATAGCAACTAGACTGAGAGTATTAAATGTTAACTTTGAAGTTCGCTTTTAATTAACATTCAAGTTCAGTTCAGATTTAAATGTTTGGTAGGGAGAGAACTCTTACAGGAGAGAGCAAACCTGGGCCTTTTACGGTCTTTTGACTGCCCATGCCCTGCCTGCCTGAGGTCAATCGGAAATTAGAAATCAAATGTAAATACCTCAAATGTACACCGCGCACACAATGCAATTGCATTGCTCTTATTTTGTAGGCGACTGCTTATTTTCAATTTACATTTGGGTGCACCTATCCCTTTTCACAGCCCAGTTGGTTCGGCCATCCATAGGAGTCCCAGTTTCTCATATGAGCCCTTGGGGAAGTTAATTGCCCACCCAAGGAAAGAGCATCAAAGGCAAAACAAAAGGCTTTCCTATGTATCCCAAAGGTGCTTTTTCCTCAATGGCTGTCACATGGTACTAATACCACATTGCTAATCACTGCACGAAGCGTTTATTAATGGTCAGCTGAATGTTATCCTCAAGATTTACATGCAGCCATCCTTTTATATGTTGAAATGAACAAATGTTGACTTTTAGGAGATTTACATACATGGAATTATTAACAGGATAACAAAATAACAGAGTCGGAAGGGATCCTGGAGGTCTTCTAGTCCAACCCCTCCTGGTCAGGCCATTTCAGACAAATGGCTGACCAGTCTCTTCTTAAAAACCTCCAGTGTTGGAGCACCCACAACTTCTGGAAGCAAGTCGTTCCACTTGTTCATTGTTCTCACTGTCAGGAAATTTCTCCTTAGTTCTAGGTTGCTTCTCTCCTTGATTTGTTTCCATCCATTGCTTCTTGTCCTGCCTTCAGGAGTTTTGGAGAATAGCTTGACCCCCTCTTCTTTGTGGCAGCCCCTCAAATATTGAAACACTGCTACCTATGTCACCCCCAGTCCTTCTCTTCATTCTATTATTCTATTTTTCTTTTAGCCAAACAATACATATTCATTTGATGCAGAACTGGTTGGGCTATTTAATATGCTTAACGCCATCTGGCAAAATTTCACATATGTTTCAAGAGAGCAATTATTCAGATACCTTTCCTTTTGATACTCCAAAAGCAAAAGTCAGCATTAAGTTCAATATAAAAAGCACTCACAGACTATTCAAAGAGCCATCCCCTCAATGACACATCATCAAGAGCTTGATCAACGAGGCAATCTTAAAACTTGCTGACCCAACCTTGGAACATAAGCCAGGTTTCCATCAAAATATTTCCTCTCTCTGTAGGAGGCACATATATTATTTTTTGATTCGTGGAGGGTTTTTTTCCCCTCTCTCTGTAAAATGCTAACGACGGTCGTCATGGAGCCCCAGAAGAACTTGTTGCCTTATGTTCAGGGCAAAGGTAAATTCTACCCAGGAAGTCCTAGGGGTGATTTGGCCAACATGATACCTCATCAATTGTTTCTGTGCGGAAAGATGCTTTTCCTTTCCTTTATCTGATCGTGTGCCAAGTTTATCTTTCAATATTTACATTATAGATTGTTTGTTTGGATACACTTCTGCATATAGCTTCGGAAAAGACCAAAGAGAAAACTCCAGGAAGTCTGTGCTGTGTGGCCAAAGCTGATGGAGTTTATGTTTTCATTTTCTGTTCTAGCTTTGCTCCGTTTTCATCAAACCAAAGAGTACTGAGGTGGAAATGGGCAATCCCAAACTTGCATGCTTTCTGAAGAGTTTGATGCCTACCTACAGTACCAATAAAGGAGAATATTACTGGCTCAGGGTTGAAATGCAGGGGTCCTTGGTGCAGGGGTCCTGGGTGCTCTCTGAGTTCCTAGAAGCAAGAAGCTGAGAACACCAGCCTGAAGATGACGAATGGGACTTTGTCGAAACATCGCCAAGATACTTCCAATTTTACGCGGGAGAAAACCTGAATAAGCAAAGACCTACATACAAACAGCCGCGAAAACCTCAGAAAACAAATATATATATAGGATTGCTTTAGGGCCGGTTCTATGCTTAGGCAACATTAAACAGTCCCCTAGAGCAGACATGTCAAACACAAGGCCCAGGGGCCGGATGCAGCCCACAAAGTGGTTTCATGTGGCCCGTGAAGCCATCCTGGAAACAGTGAGGGAATGGCCCCCTCTGCCTTGGCCCTGGCCCAGGCCAGCCGGGAGCCAATGTACAATTTTGTGGTGGCCATCTATGCTGAAACTCATTCAGTTTTAGCTCCATAAGCCCACCCCCCCCCCGCATGGCCTGAGAGGAACAGTGAGGCTCCTCCCGTGGACCATGCCTTGGCACTTGCCCTGGTCCCACCCCCTTCTGCCAGAGACCCTCAGATCTATCCTACTCCTGCCCAGGCCCCCACAGGTGCCCTTGACGCAAACGATGTAGAGCTGGCCACACCCACCTAGTAGGCCACACCCACCCTGGCCATACCCACCCGCCCCCTGAGGGCAACCGCAATGCTGATGCGGCCCTCAATGAAATTGAGTTTGACACCCCTGCCCTAGAGCATCAAATTTTAGGGAGTGCCACAATGGAAAAGATGTCCATAATGATTATAAAATCTTAACATCTTTTCTCATTGCTTTGGAACTGTTTTGTACTCTTTTCAAAAACACTTACCCACAAGTTGGTTGAATGGTATTGAAACTTACCCCAACGTCACATATGGTCCTGATCCTTTGTGCCTGATGATCAAAAACTGCTGGTTTACACTTCTTCTGAATGTCACATTTTCTCTCTCTTTGTTTGATGTAACACCAAGCAATTCTTAACGCTCTTGATATTCTCTCTTCCTAGAATGTTAAAGATGAACGGAGTGATGAAGAAGAAGAAGAAGACTCTCTCAGCGATACGGAAGGGGAATGTATGAAGAAGGGAATGAAGAATGGATTAAATGATCCTCTCCTAAATAATAATAATATTAATTAATGTCCAGCCAATACCATCTTGTGTCGTTAACTGCTGTGTCGTAAACCCAACTCACCAAACAGACTTTTTACATCCACATCTAAAGTCCATGATTGGTTTTATTGCAGATCAGTAGACTTAGCAGAGAACTCACTTTTGAAAAAAAAAGCCTCCTTTGGTAATATGCAGTCTGGAGGATATGCAATGAAATTTATTATTTTAAAAAAAACAACAACTCCAAACTGTTAAGAATGGGAATGAATTTAGAATGTAACCCTTTAAGACAGAGATCTTCATGTATTTAAACTTTGATAGGACTTCAAACAGTTTGGACAAGTTTTTAATAATGTTTTAATATGATTTGAGAAGTGTGGCTTCCTACTGGTTTGATCGAAGAGCGGAATGGCTTTATATAAGGAAAATCCATGCAGCGGGAATCTGCTTCAGTGAAAGGTTAACCATATTTGATCCGTAGGCTGTTGATTGATGGGCTCCAAGTAAAGACAGGAAAGCTTTGTCAATCCTGCTCTTTCTCAGTTCATCTCTATCAGTGAAGCCCCAAATGTAATTGTCAGATGTAATTGCAGAGCCCAGAAATGAATTCTGGTTTTAGGACTCTTTCAATTCAAATTTCAGCTTGCAACTCAAGTTGAAAGAAATGTCACTGATTCCTGAGTGCACTTTGCAGTCAATCTTGAATTCTTGCAACTGCTGTGGATTTGACAACATTTTTGGAAGTTGATGTCATAAGCCAGCAGGAGTCACTGAGACCAAGTTGGGTGACCATATAAATTTTCTTAAATAAAAAAAAAAATATTCCCATGACTGAGAGTGACTGACTGTCCCCCAAATCACGTGGCTGGTCTCCCAGTACTTTTAATCACTACACCAAAGTGGTGTTCCAAATATGTTGGACTATTTATATGGAAAATTAGCAAAGGTAGACAGGAATATCTAGATTAGGATTAAAACGATCTGCTTGAACTGTATTAATGTCAACCCTGTTTTCTTGTTTGAATTCTTCAACTCTGGATTCCTTTTTATTTATACTTACTCTTTCATTGTATAGTCTTGATTTTCATTCTTTGTGCATTCTGGATTATTTTATTTAGAGATAAAGTGTGAATCTAGGCCTCAGTCTGGAATTAAGTAAATAAGAGCAGCTATCAGGACAATGAAGAAATGAAAAAGAAGAAACAAGCAACAAGATTGTGAGTTATGGTATCAGTTGCACTGGGTGAAAAGGATGCTTGGCTGAAAAATGCTGTATGCAGGAAACACAAATGCCACTATTTTAAGCATTCTGTTTAGAAAAAGAAATTCTTTCTCAGGTCATTAAATTTAAGATTTAAGTAACCAGTTTTTCAGTAAATGTTTTAAAAATTTGTTTGTGATCTATATGGCTGCGATGAATGCACTTCACAGGTGCCCATTTTCCTATGTTAGGAAAACAGACAAATACAGCGATGTTGTACTAATTCTTCATAATGTTCAAGTACTGACAGTGATAGACAAAATAGTATTTATACTATTCTAATAAATCAACTACCTTCTCTTCTCAACATCCCAGTGTTCATGAGGACTGCAATTTGTCATCATTGATGACAAGAATGTTTGTGGAATGTTTCATTATAGCTTGGATTTAACCCAACATGTGTAAACCATGGATTTTAGCTATTTAGCAACCAGGTTTAAGCAGAGCGCTTACAGGATAGGACAGGACAGGATAGGATAGGATAGAACTAGACTCTGTTGTTTTTTGATGATTGGGCTGGTTAACTGAATGTAAACCACAGTTTGTGAAGTAAACCATAATTCTCTGGGTTCCCAAAAGATGCTAAAAGGCAAGCAAAGCCCAGTGTGGCTTCTTCTAATGTGTGAATCAAGAGGTGTGACTCTATTGCGCACTTTCACCACTGCTGATTTTTAGAATGGTTAACTAGTAGTAATTAATGTAAGAAAGGAAATATGCTGTCGCTTAGATGCCAATTAATTGGGTTTGAACAAATGCATTCCAAACTGATCAATCACCCAGCACTTCTCAGAATGAGCAATACAACTTTTTAACCTTTGGAACTGTAAAAAAAGTTCCAAAGGATATTTGGAATAAATATCTGAAAGTCAGCCTTCAACATATTAACCTCCTTATAATTGATAATAATTAACAAAAATCCAGTTATAGTTCTTGCCACCACTAAGGGACAGGTTAGCAAGCAGAGGAAACAAGATCTTTTAGAGAAGAGCATTCCAACAATAAAACTTTTTCCCCAAAGAATCAAGATTGGCACCACTAGGTTGTGCCAGACCCTTTTTTCAAACATCGTTCTTGGCCCAAAATACAAATGCTGCCACCATCCTAACTCATACAAGGGATTAATCAATCATGGCAACCTGAAGAGGCCACTATGTCCATCAAATCTTGCTCCCTCTTGGGAAAGGATTCCAAATTAGAGCATCATAGGCAAATGTCTACTTTAGCCTTTACTTAAATCAGGGGTCTTCAAACTTGGCCCATTTGTGGACTTCATCTCCCAGAATTCCTCAGCCAGCCATGCTGGCTGAGGAATTCTGGAAGTTGAAGTCCACACGTCTCAAATGGGCCAAGTTTGAAGACCCCTGGCTTAAATGATCCAATAAATAAAGGAGAACTTGGCTCCTTCCTGGGGTTGGTCTAAATCCTGGAGCAAAATTACCCTTGCCAGTAGGAAGTCACCTGTCTTTCTTAGTAAATGTCCCAAAGGTGTTTTTTTCAAGAGGCAACTGGACTGAAGAACAGAGGAAGCGTCTCGGATGAGAAGCGAAATGTCTTCAATGGAAAAACAAAGGAAGTCCGGTTGCCTCTTGAAACAGCACCTTTGGGACAGCCATGACTGAGAATCTCCATAGATAGTAAATGGTTTAGTATTGCTGAAAATGATCACCAGGTGGTAGTAAAGCTACACTGGAATATCCCATGAAGATGACTGAAAGCTCTTTGCTTTGTATTAAGTGACCAACAGAGTGAGTGGATAAGGGTAAGGTGCTCCTTTATGCCCTGGTCTTCATTCCCTTTTCTTTGAGGCCCCATTGCATTAAAGCAATTGGCTTTTACCCTTGGCTACATCCCACCGGGTGTTTATAGTCTCTGTATGGCATTGCAGCCTTTTACTCAAAAGCAGGGGTCTTCAAACTCGGCCCTTTGATGACTCGTGGACTTCAACTCCCAGAATTCTTCAGCCAGGCACTGAGGAATTCTGGGAGTTGAAGTCCACGAGTTGTAAGAGGGCTGAGTTTGAAGACCCCTGCTCAAAAGCAAACCATGAAAACTGAATTCAGTCCAGTGCCTGAGTTCACACAGGACAGCAGACATCATGTGATATGAGTTGTGGATTGTATGAACCCAGAATTAATTATTTGTATATAACCTATGGTTTCTTGTAAAATCATTACCTTTCACCTTATCCATTTCACTGACGATTGCTACAGGGAGAAAACGGGATATACAGAGATTAAACTAAAGAAACGTCTAACAGATTTTGGCCTTCCAGCAAAGACTCCCAAATAGATGCCTGCAGTTACACTTGTTGAATGTAAAGATGAAACTTGCAGCCAAAACTTAGTGTGCTCTTCCAGGTAGCCATGGCATGGCTTTTAGGAATAGTGTTCCAAAAGTTGATGGGATTATGCCAAGGAAGCTTTAAAAATTCAAATTATTGTTGTTCACTTCCTAAATCATGTCCATCTCCTTGAAACCCCAAGGACTGCAACACACAAGGTCCCCCCCCCGTCCTGCACCGTCTCCCAGAGTTCACACAAACTCACATTCATTGCATCCATGACCACCATCTAAACATCTCATCCTCTTCCTTCTCCTTCTCCTTTTGCCTTCCATCTTTCCCAACACCAGGGTCTTTTTCCAAAAAGTCCCCTCTTCACATTTGGTGGCCAAAGGATTTGAGTTTCAGCTTCAGCATCTGTCTTTCCAAGGAACAATCAGTGTTGATTTCACTGAGGATTAACACAACGTTCAAGTAGATCAAGGCAGACACCTTTTCTCTGTTGTACACGAACACAACAACTGTGCTTTGCTGATTTGAGTTTAGCATGTTTTGTGAATTCAGTCCTTATGTGACCAGCAATCCACTGTTTTTGGACTTCTGGTCAAGATGTCAATCTCTGCTAAGCCACTTTCCCTTCCCTCATAGCAATGGACAACAACTCAACCAATCTATTTCAGAAGCGTCACTGTCACAAGTACATGAGAATGTATATATCCCTTTGAGAGGAAGCCAACGATGGTATCTAGAGGAGAAGAGCTGTATAGGAAAATACTTTGATGGCCATCCAAGTTAACTCTCCATGAGCCAAAGGGATTCTTCTCGCAAAGATGTTTATAACATGTGTTCAACATCTCTAAGGGGTTATTAATTTTGCAATCATAGCTGCAAAGCTTGGCTTCTCTTGAGGGTGTTTCAAGAGGAAGGATGAAATAAAAATTTGAAAAAAGGAGCAGAGGAAGATGATATTTCAAAAAAAAAAAGGGGGGGGAAGTCTACCACTTACAAACGACTCAAGCACACCCATGACAGTCCAGAGCTGGAACTGAATGTCTGATAGTCCCAAAGGTACTTTTTCAAAAGGCCACTTAGATTTTCTTTCAGTTCTCCTTGAAGATGTTTCGCTTCTCATCTAAGAAGCTTCTTAAGAACTGAAGATGCGTCTTGGATGGAAAGCGAAATGTCTTCAAGGCGAAACCAAGAAAGTCCAGCTGCGTTCTTAAAAAAAGAAAAGAGAAAAAAGCGCCTTTGGGACAAGCCTCAACTGGGTGACCAAGAATCTCCATAGATGTGAAGGTCTGATAGGTGTGAATTACCACACCAAGAAGGGGTGGGGAGGAAGACATTGGAGGCGTAGTCAGTTGTGTGGATCAGGGAAAAAAGCAGGAGGCCAAGCCATTTGGTGGAATGATGTGGCCATTTGTGAAACCTCCTCTCTGCATATCAGAGGCTGCATGTGCCGATTGCGGTTTAAACCACATTTGCTTTTCCAGGACACACCGAATCAATAAGCACCATGGATTTGCACAATGCACTAAGCTGGAGAAAAAAAACCTGCATCTATTTCCCAGCCCAAAGGGTTAATTAGAGCAAGGCAGATCTAAACCTGGAACTAAGGAGAAACTTCCTGACAGTGAGGACAATCAACCAGTGGAACAGCTTGTCCCCAGAAATCATGGGCGCTCCATCGCTGGAGGTTTTTAAGAAGAGGTAGACAGTCACTTGTCTGAGATGGTGTAGGTTCTCCTGCTTGAGCAGGGGGCTGGACTAGAAGACCTTCCAGCTCTATTCTATTCCATTCCATTCCCCAGCAAAGTAGCCATCTTTTCCTTCTCTCAGGGCTCCTGTGCACTTAACCATTTCTAGTTGCAAGGCAGAACAGATGCTTTTGTGGCAACACAACCTCACACCAGTTTCTCCATCCCTTGAAAGGCTTTCCCTGCACAAAGTAGCAGCTGGATGAAAAGCTGCACTCAATTCTAATTTCAGAGCGGCCTGCTAATTATTAACCAAAGCGAAGCAGAGTAGATGATTTTCACCCACTGCAGGAAGCCACCAATGTGGCTGGTCTTAATACTTTGCAAGCCATCCATTTAAAGTTTTACGGCAGCATTTCCTCACTTATGCCCTCCAGATACGTTGCGGTTTACTATAAAGAAGGCATCTAGTTAGGAGAGGCTGGTATAATTCAACACGTAAAGTCAGAGGTTGTGGCTTATGCAACAAACTAGGGTTCAGAGTTCAAGAGGTAAACTGCTGAAACACTTGGCTAGCATTGCTGCTGCATATCTAGAAAGCCATTCCGATTTACTTCCAGGCTGTGTTCACTCAGCACACTTATCAATGGGGTAGCCTAACCCAGTTTACTGAATTAACCCACCTTTCAGGATTCACCTCCTAGCCCCATGGATGAATTTACACAAAACCCCCGCCAGCTAAAATAGAGCGGGCTCCTTCGTGCTTCATTCGCCATGTCGCATTATCACAAACTGGGTTAATCCAACAAACCATGATTAAGCAGTCTGCTGCACCAAGGACAAGCCTTGGGAACTGAGCCAGCTCCGGCTCAACCAGTAAACCGCCATTAAGCAAACCACAGTTCTCTTACATTGTCCCAATCCAAACAGACCCCCAAATAGGGGCGGCAAACAAAAGACGAGTCCCTTCACCTGCCTGAACATCTGCAGATAACGCGAAGGCTGGAAGGCAAACGCCAAGCCAGGAACGGTGGTGCTGAGAACAGCAGGGCCCGCCGCGTCTCCCCATCCAGACGCCAGGCCGCCTCAGCCAGCCGCCTCCGCCTCTCGGGCGCCCCCTGCCGCCGTCCCTCGGCCTTTCATCCGCCACCCACGTGTACCGCAGCTCAGTTTACAAGCTCGCTATTTACCCGGCCGTGTTCAATTCCCACGACCAATCAGCGGGCAGGAGGTGTAGCTCCGGCAGATTAAGTTCCAATCCGTCGGGGAGGGGGGGGGAAGAGATGCTCCCCCCCTTTCTCTTCTCGCCCTCCCCCCTTTCCTTTCCTCTCCTCCCCTCCCCTCCCCTTTCCTCCCTTTCTGCAAAGCACGTTGAGTTCGTCTGTAGCGCTAATTATTATTATTATTATTATTTTCCCCCAAGCCTGGGAGGGTTTGGCGATTCGTCCCGGCCGAGTTGCTGCTGCCTGGCTGCCACCGACGGCCCTTCCCTCCCTCGCTCTCCCGGCTTCTGCAGCCCAGCTCCCGGGGCCCCTCGACCGCCGTTAACATGTTTGACGGCCCCTTCCTGCTCTGTAGCTCGCCCCCGCTCTTCGCCCTGCTGCTCGTCCTTGGCCAACCGGCTCCCCAGACAGGTAAGGAGAACTTCTCGGCTCTGCCTCCTCCTCCTCCTCCGTCCCGGAGCATCTTTGCTAGCTCTGGGATCCTCGGGAAAGCGGTGGACAACCGCCTGTAAAACGCCCCTTGAAAGATGCGGCTGGTCGGGCGGGTGGGGGGCGGGTAGGGGGGTTGCAAAGCCGCTTTGCCTGGCTCCCAAGATGCGGGGGGGGTTGCAAAGCCCAGCCGCGCGCGTCTTCCTTCCACGTTTTCTTCCTTCCCTCCCTCCGCGCCCCCGTCTCCTGCTCTAGACGGGGGTCTCATTTTTTTTTTTGTTCCCCCCACCCCTTAGCCCAAAAGGATGCCTCTGTTTCCAGATTGGCGACGTCCTTGCTTTTGCAGAATCAAGAGGCGGCGAAAGGACCTCTTCCCTGTCTTTTCCCTACCTAGATCTACCCTGGTGCCTTATTTGTCCTTTGGGATAAAAGCTGTCTGGAGTTTAAGATAAGAGATGAGAGATAAGAGATGAGCTAAGATATAAGATAACCTTGATTGTCATTTTTTTTTTTTTTTTACTGCGGGCACAACGGCACACATCCGAAATGAAATTTAGTTGCCCGCTCTCAAAGTGAAACACGTACATGGAAATGCCTCCCCCCCCTCTACACACACACACACACACACACACACACACACACACACAGAGGGTGGGGGCTGGACCGGTGCAAAGTTGCTTTTGCGAAGCGCTTCTCGTCCGCCGCCGTCCCTCGTCCGCGCGTGTGCGTTTCTTGAAGTGCCTCTACCTGTGGTTGGGGGTGCGTCTCCCCTCTTCTGTGTCCCTTTTGCTGCTGCAAAACGGGTGGGGGAGTTAAAACTGTGGCTACTGGACTGGTTTCTCCCTGCTGGCCGATCAGAATCCTGGTTTCACAGAAGGAACCCACTTGTATCCATTTGATATATTAATAATAATAAAGTTGGAAGGGACCTTGGAGGTCTTCTAGTCCAACCCCCTGCTCAGGCAGGAAGCCCTATACCATTTCAGACAAATGGCTGTCCAGTCTCTTCTTAAAAGCTTCCAGTGTTGGAGCATTCACCGCTTCTGGAGGCAGATTGTTCCGCTGGTTCTAACTGTCAGGAAGTTTCTCCTTAGTTCTAGGTTGCTTCTCTCTTTGAACTAAGGAGAAAATTTCTGACAGTCAGAACAATTAACCAGTGGTACTACTTGCCTCCAGAAGTTGTGAATGTTCCAACACTGGGGTTGGACCACATGACCTCCAAGGTCCCTTCCAACTTTTATTATTATTATTACTACTATTATTATTACTACTACTATTATTATTGTTGTTGTTTGTTATTCCACATAACTAGAACAGTTGCTAATCACTGCACGAATCATTTATTAATGGGTCAGCTGAATGTTATCCTTAAGATTTACATGTAACCATCATTTTATATGTTGAAATGAACAAATGTTGACTTATTATTAGTACCATCTGACAGCCATAATTGCCCTATCATAGTTTGGTTCATTTTGAGAATATTTATCATGGGATGCTTGCCCTCCTTTCTACTTCGATTGAAAGCCATTTTTCCCAGTCTGGTGTTCTCCAAATCTACTATTCTATTCTAGTCTGATTATCTGTATGTGTACTTGGGTCTCCTTTAGCTGTTTTGCTGTACAGTTGCACCGTATGCTGTCAGGTTCCTTTGTGTTTGAAGATAATTGTAGGACAGGAAGAATTGGCTGCTCTCACCAGAAGTGGAACATCTCTAGAAAGCCCAGCCAAGACTTCTACTGTGTCCATAACATTATAGCCTCCCTGGCCTTGTGTGTCATACGCTAAATAAATAAATCTAGAACGCCCAGCGGAAAGTTCTACAGGGCCACTATTGGCATGGGAGATTCCACTTAGTGCTTCCTCATTCCTTTACTATCTGGTCAGGGGTTCTTTCTCCAGCCTTGATCTGACAAGAGATTCTGGACTTCAGCTTAGATTCGTTCCCGTTCCTGAGCTCTGAATGTTATCAAATTAGAGGAAGAAAGTTGCTTTAATTGTGGGAGATGGGGTTCCTGGATGCTTTCTGATATCCACCTTCTTCTCTTTGTCCTTTGCAGCTGTCGCGAAGCTGGCTGTGGTGATTCCGGAGCAGATTCCTCTTGTCAGAGTCCATTTTCTTCAACCTCCCAAAAGTGGCCCTAACAAGGCTCGGAGGCGACGTTCTGGGTCCCTACAGTTGGAGGAAGACGTTGCCCAATTGCTTATTCGCCTTCCTGTTGGTGCTGGGCTTCATCCTACCTCTGATCTCTACCTGATGCTTCACCACGATGACCAGTTTTTGGCTCCTGGTTTCTCTGTGGAAGAAATTGATGAGAGCCAAAGAATCCACCGACATCGGGCCGTAGACCAGCTTTGCTTCTACACGGGCCACGTGCTAAACCGCAGTCATGACTCTTTTGCTTCACTCAGCACCTGTGGTGGACTGGTACTTATCTACATTAACCTGTTGTCGTTGGTGTGTGTGTGTGGAGGGGGGGAGAATAGGTAGAGGAAGGGACAGCCTTGCAAAGTGTGGATGTTTGTAGGATAGAGACAAAGATTCAAGGGGACGAATAGAAAGGCTGGGTTCATCTCCTTAGGCAGAAAAGTTGCTCATTTGTGTTGACAAAACACTGGGGACTTGCAGTTGCATATGGAAATAGAGATTCCTCTTCAGCTAACCAGACATGAGGCAGAAAGAGATAATTCCTAAACTCTTGAATGAAAACTGAGTTGTGTTAATGGCCATATTCAATTTCCAATCAGAGTTCAGGAATTCTCTCTTTTCTTTTGCAAACTTTGGAATTTTCTTAGCCAGCTTTATAATATTCTCTGTGCAAGCTGCACCATTTTGGCTAGACGTATTACAGAATAGAGCTGGAAGGGACCTTGGAGGTCTTCTAGTCCACCTCCTTGCTCAAGCAGGAAAGCCTATACCAGGGGTGAACTCTTCTTCGGAGGTAATATTTCAGAGACTGGAAGTCCTGGCAGGGATGCTGTGGTAGAGATTGTCCTTGACTTATAACGATTTGTTTAGTGACCAAAGTTATAACAGCACTGAAAAAAGAGATTTATGACTATTTTTCACACTTATGACCATTGCAGCATCCATACAGTCATGTGATCAAAATCCAGACACTTGGCAACTGGCTCCTATTTATGATGGTTGCAGTGTCCCAGGGTCCTGTGATCCTCTTTTGCGTGACTTTCTGATGAGTGAAGTCAATGGGGAATCCAGATTCAGCTAACAACCACGTCACTAACTTAACTGCTGTGGTTCATTTTACAAGTAGGACCAGGTCATGAAATGGGGCAAAACTCACTTTATAACCATCTTGCTTAGCAAAGGAAATCCTGGACTCCATTGTGATCATAAGCTGTAGACTACCTAGAGTAGATTCTGCATAAACTGGAGCTTGGACTGGATAATTTCTAAGGTCACTTCTAATCCTTATATTATGAGTCTGTGTAGGACCCTCCCTGTCCCTCCCCTATCTATACCCTGTGCCTTATTTGCCCTTTGGGATAACAAGCTGTGTGGAGTTTAGTTTGGGAAGATGACAGAGCTTAAGAACAGAGATATACAGGTATGCTCTGCCTTAGGTGAGCACCTGCAACCAGATAATGGCATCTCAGCAGCTCCCTGATTGATGTTAGAAAAGGAGCTTACCACTAAAAGTTTCTTGGGGCTTAGAACTGATCCGGCTACTTTCCTGTTTGAAAAGCTGTCAACATTTTTCCCCCTCCTTTGTTAAGCTCATTCATGAGCTGCTGAGCATTCAAAACTGCCCTTCCTGGGCCGGTAGAGATGGAAAGAACTCTCAATTAAAGAAAAATAAAATAAAATAAAGCAGCAGCAGACAGGTGGGAATTTATCTGGGGTAACACTGATTGTCTGAGACAGGAAAGCAGCAAAACAGCTAAGGCGCTCTGCAAAGCAAAAGTGTAGAATTAAGAGATGGATGAAGCTAACCTCTTTTGTTGCCTTTGCAATATATTGCAAATAAGGGTTTGAAGAGATCCCCTTGGAGGTCTTCTTGTCCAGCCCCCTGCCCCTTTCTTGGGCATCTTTTTAATATTTTGTAAATAAGGGCTTCTTTTGCCTTTGTAACATTTTTGGATAAAGAAACGAAAGCATCCCAAAAGAATCGAGTCACAAAATAGTGCAGAAAGCAAGCTGCTTCATACTACATGCTGTATAGGGAGTCCTCAAGTTGCAACTCTTGTTCTGATGACCATTCAGAGTTACAAGGGCGCTCAAAAAAAGCGACTTATGACTGCTTTTTGCACAATTATTGCAACATGCTCCTGAGCATTTAGTGACTGGCTCATATTCATGAAGGTTGCAGTGTCACGTGATCACCTTTTGTGACTTGTCTCATAAGCAAAGTCAAGATTTACATAATGCCAGATTCACATAATGACTGTATGAGTCACTGAACAGCCTCAGCGATTTGCTTTTAGTAACTGTGACAAAGTATCATAAAATTGAGAGTAACTCACTTAACAAGCGCAGTGGAAATTCTGGTCCCAAACATAGTGGTAACTCAGGAACTGTATATACAAGTGTAATTTTTTTTTCCCCTACGCAATCAGCTTCAGTCCCAGAAAGTTAAGGAGAGGAATAAGAAAATCTCAAGGACATTGTGGTTTGCTGCATTCCTCGATCTGATATTGAAAACACCTCCCCTGTTTTAAGTCGGTTGTTTGACCCTCCTTTCTCTTCCAAGACTTGGTGTAACTTTTAATAGGAATTCCATCTGGGGAAGAATAAAGCCATGATTGTGAAGAGCAGTTACACTTATGACATCTGTGCACCATACATAAATCAAATAACATGGGCTACACAATGAGTTAACCACTGGAGCAAGAAACATGGACCAGCTCCTATTGCTGGTCCCCTTCCAGCCTTGCTAACTGCATCAACGTTGGCAGAGAGCAGACAGAGGGAAAAACTACGCATCTTGAAAAGTACTCCTAGACTTGCAATAGAGAACATAATATAACTTGGGACAGCTGTAGGCTCTAAGAAGCTGATCCCAATTTTGTAAAAGCAATAGCAATAGCACTTTGACTTAGATATTGTTCCATAGTGTTTTATAGCCCTCTCTAAGCTGCTTACAGAGTCAGCATCTTACCTCCAACAATCTGGGTCCTCATTTTACCAAGGATTCAAGGCTGGGTCAACCTTGAGCCCGGTCACCAGTCTAGAACTAAGGAGAAATTTTCTCACAGTGAGAACAATCAGTGGAACAATTTGCCCCTAGATGTTTTGGGTGCTCCGACCCTGGAGGTTTTTAAGAAGCAATTGGAAAACCATTTGTCTGGAATGGTATGAGGTCACCTGCTGAAGCAGGGAGTTGGGCTGGAAGACCTCCAAGATCCCTTCCAACCTTGTTATTCTGTTTTTCAGGAACGAACTTCAGACTGCGGGCAGAGTTTGCCTGCAGTACTGCATTCTAACCACTGCACCGCCAGGGCGTTGCTTTGGTGATGGAAAAAGAAAGGCATCAAGGCAACTGAGATTGGGTTCTCTCCAGGAGCCATATTCTGAACTTAAATGTCTTCTGGGGTTTTTTTTTTCTCCGTCTCTGAATCTATTTTTACAAATTAGAATAAGCAGAAAGTAATGGTGATTGAGTACCAGTAATCCTTGATTTGTGACTACAATTGAGACCAACATAAGCAAGACAGTTGCTAAGTGAGTTGCACTCCATTTTATGATCATTCTTGCCCAGTTGTTAAACGAATCGCTGCAGTTGAGCGAGTCATGCAGATGTTAAGTGAATCTGGCTTCCCTGATTATCTTTGCTGGTCAGAAACCAACTGGGAAGTTATAAATGGTGAACACATGACGCCGAGACCCTGCAACCGTCATAAGTACATGCCAGTTGCCAAGTGCCCGAATATTGATCACATGACCGTGGAGATGCTGCAATGGTCCTAGGTGTACAAAATGGTCATAAGTCACTTTTTTCAGTTTCATCGTAACTACGGACAGTTGCTAAACAAATGATTGTAATGATGGCATCCATTTCATCCTACTAATCCTCCAGTAATTTCTTTCTGGAATTCACCAGAAGTTAAGATCAAGTCAGAGATGAATTTACCTTGCTGGAGGTCAGTCGTCTCACTTACTTGACAAATTAAATTGGCCAGTTAAGCAAATTAAACTGGCTTACTTATTTGACAAATTCAGTCGCCCTGTTTTAGCCTTACATGTTGCCTGAACTCAGCCTTGGCTCTTTGTTTTTTTGGCTCAGGGTTTCCTACAAAGGAAACAGAATTATTGAGGGAAAGCATAGTACAGTTAATCACGGATAACCCTGCTGGACTAACACAGCTTATGCGTGTTTTAAATTTAATTGCACTGTCTAGAAAAACGACACAGTAGAAAAATTGGTGGGAGGTCTTATTCCCATATAGATTATTCCTGTCTGGCGTTGCCTCTTCAGGCCCCGGGGAGCGATCATGTTTCTCTCTATTCATAATTTCGTTCACTTAGAAAACTACCTTTCTTAGAAGAAACATCTGGTTGTATTCTCACAATACACCAAAACTACACCTACGGTAAACCCAGACCAAGGAAAATGTAATGCTTAGTGTAACGTGCGAAGCATCATTCTGGAGAAAAGGTGATGTACAGGTAATCCTTGATTTATGGCCCCAATTGGAACTGGAATTTTGGCTGGAACTCACAAGGACTGTAAATCCGGACCTCCGTGTTGACCCGATTTTAGGACCATTTTTACAAGCATCATTAACTCAGTCGTAAGCCCAAATCTATTCTCGCGAGGGGCGCTTTTTGCCAAATACCAGCAAAAAAGACACAAATTGGGGTCACGCGGTTGTGGGATGCTGCATCTAATTGTAAATGTGAAGCAGTCGCCAAGTTTCCGAATGTTATCACGTGACCATGGGGCAACATGGCATTTTACGATGGCCGGAAGCGCCTTACAAGCTACAAAGCACCTTTTCTGAGGTGATTAAAAATCCAACTGGACATTAAAAGGACTGGTGGATAGATTGAGGGCTGCCTGTCCACTAAAATGGGACATTGACTTGATGTCGCATAACCCAAAGGTGTGAAGCAAGTCACCTTGGCTTTTTCGATGATGTGTTTCCTTTCCAACTGAAAGGAATTTCTTACATTTGATTTGATTTAGAAAATTTATATACTTGCCTACTCGCTCACAGCGACTCTAGGCAACTTACAGACAACAAAAACACAATATAAAAAATAAATAAAAAACAATAACCCACCCTCACCTGTTCTCTCCCCCCGGCTCCATCACACAACCAAATAAGCCATTTGATGGGCTCCATCACATTCTGGGTTCCCCAGGCCCGCTGGCAGAACCAAGTCTTCAGGGCCTTATGAAAGAGTGTCAAGGTGAGGGCCAGTCTAATTTCCGCAGGGATGATATTCCAAAGAGAAGGAGCCACCACGGAGAAGGCCCTCCTTCTGGGTCCTGCCAGATGTGTCTCCTTAGGGGACGGGACCCACAACATTCCTTGCCGTCCCACTCTAGTGGGTTGGGTGGATATGACTGGCAGGAGATGGTCCCTCAGATAACGTGATTTCATGCCATGGAGGGCTTTAAAAATAACAACCAACACCTTGAATTGCACCTGGAAGAAAATCAGCAATCAGTACAACTCCCAGAGTAGGAGAGGTGACACATGGGCACCCGGAAGTCTGCACAAAACCATGCGGACTGCTGCATTTTTGAACCAACTGGAGCTTCCAGATGCTTTTCAGGGGCAGCCCCATGTTAGAGGGTGAATTGTAGGTGTCCTCAATCGTGCCAAAGAACGATAGCCTCAGTCTAAACATCAGGCCGTTCCTGCAGAATTCCACTCCTTTTGGCTAGCGTCTGCATGCTGCATAAAGTAAACAAGGGGCAGAATGGGCATTTTGATGGCACAAATAAGCATTCCATGCTTATTCTCTGCCTCTGGGTCCCCCCCTCATCTTTTGTGGAGAGCTCAGCGAAGAATGTTCAGACAAGTCAGCCCTCCACCTCTATTCTGTGGAAACTGCATGAAGAAACAAGACCAAAGTCCCACCTGTTCTTGGATCTTTAATTACAACGTGGAGAGGGGATATTCCTTGGAACATGTCTCTGCATAGCTACTCTACATTTGCATGTTATGAAAGCTCCTCCTCAAACCCTCCAGATAACCTTTGTCAAAGACCCTAAAGCAGGGGTCTGCAACCTTGACAACTTTAAGACGTGTGGACTTCAGCTCCCAGAATTCCTCGGCCAGCGTGCCTTCTGGGAATTGAAGTCCATGAGTCATAAAAGGGCTGAGTTTGAAGACCCCTGCTCTACGGGCTTCTCTAATGAGATACAGCCTTTGTCCCAAAAGTGCTTCCCAAAAGGCAACTGGACTTTTTTTCTGTTTTTTTTTTTTTTAACCCCTTGAAAACGTTTTTCGCTTCACATCCAAGAAGCTTCTTCCGTTCTGAACTCAAGGAGCTTCTTGGGTGAGAAGCGAAAATATTTTCAAGGCAAAAAATAATTAAAGTCCAGTGGCCTTTTGAAAAACACCCTGGATGATTGAGAATCTCCAATACAGCCTTTGCTTTGAAGCCTTTGGTCATCTTGAAAAATGTAAGCCTTGTTCGTTTCATTTGTTTCATTGATGGCTTGATCAGAAAGAGCCTGAAGTGGCATCACAAACAACCTCATTACGGATCGTTGTGCTAATCCATAACATGGTTTTCTCAATTTAGGATGGTGTTTCTCAACCTGGGCAACTTTAAGCTTTGGGGACTTCAACTCCAGAATTCCTCAGCTCTAGCAATCTTAAAATCACCAAGGTTGAGAAACACACCTTTAGGAAGTGAACTCAGGCACTGTACCAAGGGTTTAGTGGGACACTCTTCCTAGGAGTTGGATGCTAACTGCGAGAATAATACACTTAAGTCTTGCTGGGTTCCTCTGAAGGTTGCAGCTTCCATTCCTAAGGTTTACAATCACCACGTGCCTAAAAGGATGAGGATTTAGATCAGATGCGTTGGTTAGAATGCCAAAACACAGTTAAAATGGCTGGAAAGAGGTTTGTTTTTTTTCCAAACATTTCCTGCTTTGGCTAAATAATCTTGTAATATAGGAGAGAATGGCTCTCTTACATTTAAGCTTATATCTTATGGACTGCTTGGAGCTGTGCTGTGTTAATGACACATCTGGGTTGCAAGCAAAGGCAAGGAATGTGTGTGGTATGTGTGAGTCTGTATAAATTATAACACATATGTAATGTAGGTTGTAAATCACATTAATGCAGACAGCTGTTCTATATCCTGGAGAGTTTGTTTGGGTGACTGGCTGGTAGAGAAATCTTTAAACGAATGTTGTATTCCTAGCTTTCTCCTCTATAGTGGGTTTGCATAACAGTGAAATTAGAGAGATGAGTGTCCTACATCCTTTTTTTACTGAAGGATTGTTGAGATTTTGTAGAAAACTCTAAAAATGGTTTATATATTGTATATTTATAGTAGCTAAAAATATCTTCGTGGTATTGCAGAGGGCCTGATTTAATAATCCCGTTTACTTTGTATTTCCGTTAGAGTTAGACTTGACTTCATCTGTTCTTGCATTTTGCAAGCCTTGCAGGGTACTGTTTTCCCAGCGTCTCTTTGTGGCTTAAGCTGATTGGTGGTGGTGATGGGGTGTTATCATAGTTAGATTTATCATCTTAGTTTAGCCAGTGAATGTTTTTGTGCTGCTTCAGTTGTCTTTATGGACTGCTTTCATGTGAATCGTGAATAAAGTGACATAGATGCAGTTTCCTTAATATATATATATTATTGGGGTTTAAATCCTGATATTGTGATCTTTGCAGAGTGGATAGTCAGATCAAGGGGATCCAAAAGTGGTGACATTTATGGGGTGTTTTCAGCCAGGAGTGTATGTTAAATATTTTGCTTAACCATGTTATCGATAAGCATTAAGTTGCCAAACATCTGCATGAAAGGAACGGTTGGAAACTACGAGTATGAAGTCTTGATCACAAGCTTTTCTAGACAATACCAATAAAATGAATATTTGCAGCTCAGGGTTGAAATGAGGTGTCTTTGGTGCTCTCTGAGCTTGGTGGTTTTCTTGCAGACGTTTCATTACCCAACTAGGTAACATCATCAGTGCTAGAAGAGAGTGCGGTTTGCTCCCTTTTCTAGCACTGAGGATGTTACCTAGTTTGGGTAATAAAACTTCTGTAAGACAACAACCAAGCTCAGAAAGCACTCCTCTTTTGTAGACATTATTTCCAGTGTAGCAAGAAATGTTTTGTCTTTTGGGATGGGATCTTGTTTTCTTGATTGCTCAAACATTTTGGGCAGACATAATCTCAGCTCATTCTAAAAAATTCACTAGTTCTGCCAGCTCATATGCTTTCCAAATAACTTTCCTTCTCTGCAGTCAAAAGGAAAAAGAACGGAGGAATTTGCAAAGCACATGTAGGGCACGGGCACTTTCATAGCTAGGAGGTGACCAAGGGTTCCATGTGAATGTCTGATCTTCTCTCAATTCTTTCACCGCACAATCTTCTCTCCAGGGGTCCAGCATCTCTAGGTTCCCCCATTCAATCCCAAGGCAAGACCATAGGAGAGGCCACTTCTGTTTTTTATTTACCCACACTGGGGTGTACGTGTGCCAAAAGAGAGGCTTTGAAAGGATGGAAAGAGGTTTGAGGGGGGTGAAAAAACCAGCACCGGGAATAGCATACTCCACCTTCACCTAAACCCAAAGCAGTCCCTAAGCGAAATTACAAATTGCCTTCGAAGAAGTGGAATGACAGGATTTTTGGACCCAGCATTAACCTTTAAGTGTCCCAAAGGCACTTTTCCAAATGGCAACTGGACTTCCTTGTTCTTTTTTTCCTTGAAAACCTTTTGCTTCTCATCCTAGACCCTTCTTCAGTTCTGAAGAACCTTTGGGGATGATGGAGAATCTCAGACATTTAACCTTTGGGGTGGTTTTCTGTTTTGGTGGACAGGTTGGCCATATCCAGATTGGTCTAGAACAGGTGCAGATACAGCCTGTAAACGGGTCTGAACTGTCATTCCATGGGAAAGAGCACTTCATCAGGCGGAAGAGATCCAGCCCAGGCCGTCCTTTGAAGTCAACGATCCCGATGGAGCATTGCAGTGTGTTACCAGGTGGGTGAGTAGAGATCCATTTGGTTACAGCACTTAATGTCAGTCTGGAAGAATCAGGGCCACACCTTAAGTTCCAAAGGAACCTTATTTTCTACAAAAGCTGCATTCCCACAATACAGGTAGTCCTTGACTTACAACCACCATTAAGCCCAAAATTTCTGTTGCTACACACCTCGACACCAAACAGCACCAGTTCGACTGGAGCAACACAAAAATCATCGGCCACGCCGCCACCCGCCATGCTCGCGAGTTCATAAAAGCCTGGCACTCCACATGCAATTCCACCAACAGACCCATTGACCTACATCCGGCCTATGGACCCCTCAGAATCCATATCAGGCACATCACCAGAGACAGCACTGACCCTCAACTAACCCATAGAAGCCCCCTCCCTCCCCCCAGCAGTTGAGCTCCCAGGGACCCTGACTGGATGTAACTCCCATCACAAGACCCATCAAAAGCCCCTCATTTGACACGTCCACACCTGAAACCCTTATAAACAGCGGAACAGTGACACTGACATTCCCTAGATTAATAAATGTGTTAGTCTTTAAAATGCCCAAAGATTCTCAAAAGTATACAAACACAAGGAAAAACACAAAGAATACTTTGTTACAAGGTTTACAAATGACAAAAGAATGGTAAAAAATATGTGGGGTTTTGTATTTACCCTGCAGTTTCATACTCTGTCAGACCTCTTGAGGGTTTTTCAGAAAAAGAAAACGAATGATCCAATACATCAAAATGGCATCTCAGTACTCAGAGCGCTGCATCTAGGATACGTTCCTACAACGTGTTAAGCCACAATGTGATATGTTTGGCTTTGGCTTAGCGTGGTGTAGGAACTCAACCGTAGGCATCCGATATGTTTCATAATGACGTTATGTCACGTGTATCGTTGACATCGTTGTGCAAATGACACAAAGGATGAAATTTACATCATGGACACAAAGCCGTGATTCATGTGGCATCAATTCCCCACTCTGCCTACTCTTCAGCACCCCTCCAAACTCAATAACTATGGTTTGCAAGCCTGTGTTCATGGCTCCATGTAACGTTCAAACTTATGCAAAAGTATTTTCAGCAGAAACAGCCCATGTCTTCAGCCTCCTTTCGCCTGCTGTGGAGAATTTGTGGTGTACATTACATCAGCCTGTGGAATGCCGTAAATCTCAGTTGTGTGTCTTGTGTACAGGGTGGATCACATATTATTTGTAGACAATAGAAGAGATCAAACAGTGTTGCAAGGGGATTATAATACTATGGCCATTATCCTGATAACGCTATGTTCTCACAACGTATTAAACCATCAATGTTTATGTCCAAGCGGCAAGGGCTAAGTCAAAAATCAAACCACATTATGGAAACCAGAACATTGTTGCTAAGCTACGCTTCGCTTGGCTTATTTTGACTTAACATTTTATATAAGGCAGAAATATGATCTTCTATATACAGAAATAAATCATAATAAATCATAATTTATTATGTACAGGCAGTCCTCAACTTGCAACAGTTCATTTAGTGACTGTTTGAAGTTACAATGGCACTGAAAAAAGTGACTTATGACCAGTGGTGGGATTCACACCAGTTCAGCAAAACCAGGAGCTAATTTTTTGTTGCCCAGGCCCAGAACTGACTTCCAGAAGTGGCATCCACACAGAGAAAGGCAGATTTATTCTAACAACTGTGTTACTAACTTAATAACTGTGACAAGCAAGGTGGTAAAAATGGGACAAAACTTACTTAAAAACTGTCTCGCTTAGCAGCAGAAATTTTGGGCTTAATGGTGTTGTAAGTCAAGGACTACCTGCATTGTGGGAACGCAACATTTGTAGAAAATAAGGTGCAGCATTGTATTTTTTTTTTTTAGAGAAGTTTATAATCAGCACACTAAAAAGCAGAGACATCACCCTGCCAACAAAAGTGTGTATAGTCAAGGCCATGGTTCTCCCAGTTGCAATGCATGGCTGCGAAATTTGGACCATAAGAAAGGCTGAGCGCCAAAGAATCAAGGCCTTTGAACTCTGGTGCTGGAGAAGACTCCTGCGAGTCTCCTGGACTGCAAGGTGATCAAACTGGTCAGTCCTGGAGGAGATCAACCCCGACTTCTCTTTTGAAGGCCAGATCCTGAAGTTGAAACTCAAGTACTTTGGCCACCTAATGAGAAGGAAGGACTCACTGGAGAAGAGCCTGATGCTGGGAAAGATGGAGGGCAAGAGAAGGAGGGGATGACGGAGAATGAGGTGGCTGGATGGAGTCACTGAAGCAGTAGGCAGGAGCTTAAATGGACTCCAGAAGATGGTAGAGGACAGGAAGGCCTGGAGGAACGTTGTCCATGGGGTCACGATGGGTCGGACACGACTTCGCAACTAACAACAATAATAATAATCTGATTGGCACCTTCAGAAACACGTTTATTTTGCGTCCTCCTGGTTTGGTTAAATATATCAACTGCACAAATATTTGGGAGAAAAAGCATCTCAACCCTTTCTTGAGAAATGCTTATTTAAGCTATAAGAATGTAATCAAACATGTAATGGTTCTTTTGATGGCTGCAAACGTGCTGTTTTCCTGGGAGTCTAGTGTTCCTTTCTTAATCTCTTTCCCTGAGATCTCAGCCGGTGATGTAAACGCTCATTACAGAGGATGGATTTGGTATAAAACATAGCTGAAAACAAAGCAAATCTGCCCTCTGAGACAAGGCCACCAGCCCAGTATATTGTTCTGAAATATGTCAGCTGCAAAAGTTTGGGTTTGCTAAACCACATTTTTCTTGTAAAGTCTTAAATCATGGGAGAGATAGGGACACGTTTCAAAGGAACACACTGGCTTTATTTTTAATGTCTAAAAAGCAAACAAAAAAAGGCAGGCATGAAAAAAACAAGGGGAAAGAAATCTCAAGTGTCGGTGAAGATTGTAATTCATTCATTCATTCGTTTATCCAATCAGTCAATTTAGGTGTCGCCCAACTCCAAATTAAGACAGTGAGGCTCAAGGCATAAATTATAGAACAAAGATTCGATCAGAATGCAAAACATGAAACAAAAATCGGGCCGGCAATAACAAAACAAATATCGTACCCCTAAGCAGATTTAAGAGGAACAATCTGTAGGCTGGCTATAGTCAAAATAAATTTCTTTAGGTTTGCTGTGGGTTAGAATCTGTGACTAAGCTCACCCAAGCTATGCTCGGCTTTGTTAGTCATAAATGGGCCAATAAACCCAACTGGCTGGGTGCACATATAATCACCCAAACTGGGTACCCTTCAGATGTATGGATTTACATCTTGCAGAATTATCTGCAATGAAGAATTACATGAAGTGTTAAAGCATGTGTGGGGTTCTAGATTGGGGGAAATTGTATTTGGTCATAAACCCTGCGTTTCCTGAAATTATGAGCTGTGAATCATAAATGTATGGATAGAACTATATCTGATAAGAGGCGGAATACATACTCTCCTGCCACTATCCTTACAAAACCTATTAGGACTTTTCTGTGAAGTCCCTCCATCTTCCCAGTTGATGTCCAAGCTTTTTGTATCGAGCAGTAGTGGTGCAGTGGTTAGAATGCAGTATGGCAGGCTAACTGCCCACTGCCAGCAGTTCAATCCTGACCAACTCACGGCTGATTCAGCCTTCCATCCTTCCGAGGTCAGCAAAATGAAAACACAGATTGTTGGGGGCAAGAGGCTGACTCTGCTGAAACTGCTTAGAGAGGACTGCAAAGCACTGCGAAGCTGTGTATAAGTCTAAGTGCCATTGCAATATGGAGCCTCTGATTTAATTCTGTCACTAATAGTTGTTTTATTTTTAACAGATGTTCCGATTTTAGTGATTTGTAGAGTACCTTAAGGGAGCAGGTGTCGTGTAAATTTTCTGAATAATAAGCAGTCAGAAAAGTTGAAACACATTGTGGTATTTGGTCTCCCTAGGTGGTTTAATCAAACCTTAAAATCCCTATTCCCAAATAGGATATGAGGGGGAAAAAATATTGTTTGCTAGTAAAAGAAAATAGTAGCCTAAGCTATGCCTGTGATAGAGTTCTGTAATGGCCTCTTTTGTGTCCATAGAGATTCTCCGTCTCCAGGTCATGGTTGTTCCAAAGGTGCTTTTCTTTGAAGATCTTTCACTTCTCATCCAAGACGCGTCTTCAGCGCTGAGTGGGGTGGGTGGGGAATGCAAGGATTTATATTCCTTGCAGACAGCTAGTCATTTGCCTTCTTTTAGAGCAGTGGTTCTCAACCTTTTTAATGCCGCGACCCCCAACCGGTCGTAAGTCGAGGACTACTCAACCAATCGTAAGTCGAGGACTACTCAACTGGTGCAGCACCGTTTGCAGAATGGGACTTTTGGCGGGCTCAGCAGGGCAGAGACAGCCTGGACAATTCCTATTGGCTTTTGAAAGCCAATAGAATTAGACTCTATTCAAGAGAGTCTAGTCTATTGGCTTTCAAAAGCCAATAGAATAAAAGGGAGGAGCACAGTTAAGGAAAAGGGGGGGAAAATGGCAGACTGCGTTGTTTGGCGACCCCCGTGAAATGGTCATTCGACCCCAAATGGGGTCCCGACCCACAGGTTGAGAACCACTGTTTTAGAGAGTCGTTGAGGCCGCTTGGAGGTTAACCTGTGTCCTCAGGGCCACCTATGTGGAACCTTCTTGGCTGCAAGATGCTTTTTGCCCTGTGTCCCTTCACTGTTGAAGACAGGTGCAGCTGTTGGGGATGAGCCTCTGTTGTCTGCATCTCCAACTGAAGCGCAAATGGTTCCTGTAGTCTCCGATGTTTTCTGGAAATCTGTTCATACTCCCACACCATTCGAAGGGGGTTCCTCCCAAAGTGCATGGCTAAATGTCCGTGGAGATTCTCAGTCATCCAAGTCACGGTTGTCCCAAAGGTGCTTTTTCAAGAGGCAACTGGACTTTCTTGGTTTTTGGTTTTTGTTTTGTCCTCTTCTGTTTTTGAGACTACATAGACAATACTCATTAGAGCATTCTTGCCTTAC